AAACAATAAACATCATATTAATATCACTGTATAACCTCCAGACAATAAGTATCTTAATGTCTTTATATAGTCTCCAAACAGTAACCTCCAGACAATAAGTATCTTAATGTCTTTATATAGTCTCCAAACAGTAAACATCTAAATGTCTCTGTATAGTCTCCAAACAATAAACATCTAAGTGTCTCTGTATAACCTCCAAACAACAAATGTATTGAAGTTACTGTAAAGCCTCAAAACCTTTAATACCTGAATGTCACTGTAAAGCCTCGAAACAATAAACATCACAGTGTCACTGTATAGCCTTTAAACAATAAACATCTTAATGTCACTATATAGCCTCCAAACAATAAACATCTTAATGTCACGTCTAGCCTCCAAACAATAAACATCACACTCAGTGTCACTGTATAGCCTTTCACCAATAAACATCTTAATGTCACGTATAGCCTCCAAACAATAAACATCACAATGTCACTGTATAGCCTTTAAACAATAAACATCTTAATGTCACGTATAGCCGCTAAACAATAAACATCACAATGTCACTGTATAGCCTTTAAACAATAAACATCTTAATGTCACGTATAGCCTCCAAACAATAAACGTCACAATGTCACTGTATAGCCTTTAAACAATAAACATCTTAATGTCACTGTATAGCCTCCAAACAATAAACATCACAATGTCACTGTATAGCCTTTAACCAATAAACATCTTAATGTCACGTATAGCCTCCAAACAATAAACACCACAATGTCACTGTATAGCCTTTAAACAATAAACATCTTAATGTTGCGTATAGCTTCCAAACAATTAATATAACATCTTAATAATGTCACTGTATTTCCTCCAAATAATTATATAAATGATATCGTAAGACTTTATAAAAACAACTACATTGCACTGTATAACCTCTAATCAATAAAGATTTAAATGCTACTGCATCAATTTGAAGAAAAAAACCTCTTTAAGCTACTAAAGCCCCCCCCCCCCCACCCACCCAGGTTAGAGGGAGGATTTGGCGCTAGTAAATATGTGTAACACCACCACATTTTATGTGCCTGTCCAAAGTCAGGAGCATGTTATTCAGTTGTTGTCGTTTGTTGCTGCATATCATATATATTTTTCGTTTATTGCTTTATACATAAATCATACCGTTAGTTTACTGGTTTAAATTGTTTTGTATTAGTCATTTCGGGGCATTTTATAGCTTAATTACTATGCGGTATGGGTTTTGCTCATTGTAGAAGGCCATACAGTGACCTATAGCTATTTTGGTCTCTGGTGGAGAGTTGTCTCAATGGCAATCATACCATATCGTCTTATTTCTATATGCATGGACTTCAGACAATTATTATGTAAGTGCTGATGTGTGGCCTTCAAAAAATTAACATCTAAATGTCAATGTGTAGCTTCCAAACAAAACAAAAACATTAATGTTACTCTATAGCCTTAAAAACAACATCTTAATGTCACTGTATAGCCTTAAAACATCCTAATTTCACTGCCTAAAACATCTTTACTTCTATGTGTAGTCTGCAAACAATGGCTTCCAATCAATTAACATCTTAAAGCAACTATATATGTTTGGCAAATATCGAAACTGTATGACCTCCAAACATCCAAACAATAAACGTATAAATGCTACTGTATATGTATGGCATCGATGCAATAGGTATAAGCATGGAAGTTATATATAATACTTCCATGATATAAGAAACACCCATGATGGCATTATAGCTAATGCATAATGATATATTTCAATAATTAAGATGCTTTTTTTTCAATATGATCTTATTTTGTGGAAAAGCATGATAAATGAAGGCTATTTAATCTTAGTGTAAATAGCTAAATGAAACGGTATGGCACTTAATATATAAGCAATTCTGTAAAAACTATAATATATAACATCTATTAAAAAAAAATGCAGTTTGAATGAGACTATCTGTAACAGCCCCGAGATGTTATCGTGTTATGATAACAGCTTACTTTGAATGATTAATCATTCTATGCCTCTTCTTCGTTAATATTTTATGGGCTGTTCTTGAATTAAAACTTTAAATTTGATTCAATCACATGCGTGCTCGCCTTAATTAGATATAGGAAGATGTGGTATCAGTGCCAATGAGACAACTCTCCATCCAAGTAACAATTTATAAAAGTAAACCATTATAGGTCAAGGTACGGCCTTCAACACTGAGCATTGGCTCACACCGAACAGCAAGCTATAAAGAGCCCCAAAAATTACTAGTGTAAAACCATTCAAACGGGAAAACCAACGGTCTCATCTATATAAAAACGAGGAACGAGAAACACGTATGAACTACATAAACAGACGACAACTACTGTACATCAGATTCCATAAAGTCGTAGGAAAAATTTCCGGCCTGGTCAAACCAATGATTTTATTAAATTGGCATTTACTACTTTTACGCGTGTCATAGGGCATATTAAAAGTGAAGACGGTTCGGATTCATAAAAATATATGCAATTAGGGGGTACAACGTTGTACCGCAATCAGGGGAACATTTCTTCCAGTTGATTGTTGCCTTGTCGACTAGACTGTTACGGTAGATATTCTTACCTTGTCAGTTTTTATATACTTATATGAAGTTATTATATCTTTTCAGAACTATAGGTCATTCTTTTGAAGAATCAACCCGGACAATATCCAATTTCAATGAAATATGCTCCAAGGGATAAAATAATGACCTGTATACACTGCTTTCCTCTGCCAGTTCCAATAAATTTTCGTCGCATTTTTTCAGGAACTTAGAATTAAGTGTGAACTTGCTATACCGTGTGATGCGTTTTCACACCGATTACTCCTCAACTTCTTGTTTACTGAATACTTACATATTTTTACACATAAGAGATTCTTCTGCAATTGTTGTTGGATTTTTCACAGGAACAGCGAATCTGAGTTTGCTGAAATTTAGTACCAAGCTTGATGTGAGCATGCTATACCAAATGATGTGTTTTGACATATACTGTTTACTTGTATCAAATTCCTATTTACCGAACCCTTGTAGCGGATCTATCATCCAAGCAATTGCTTACAGTACACGTGCAATTACGTTTGATGAGTTTTAACATGACAAAACCTTGACTATTATTATTTCATCTATAACAAAGTACTGTATGTAAATATTATTTCCATAGCTTCTGCGTACAGATTTCAAGTTAGTTTCGTTGGCATACAATCACTGACATTGCACTTTATTGTGAAATAAGTAATTGCAGATCTCGTATTTGATAATTCTTTGTTTGATGTTTTCAGTCGTCTAAAAATTCATTAAAGATACATGGCTTATTAATGCAGATATTTGTTTTTCTAAAATTCTCTGTTGATTAATTTAGAAATTATTAAGAAACTAATATTCCAATTCCATCAGGCAAAGTTGACCGTGGTTAAATTTGGCTATTATTTTTAGGTTCCTTTTGGCCATTCAGCTCCTAACGTTTCTACGTATTTATACATCCATGGCTTTCAACGGTTGAGGTTTCAGCCTTCCTGATGAAGGTAAATCCAGAAACAAACGCTTCGGATGATCATTTACAAATTCCACACAGTTTGATAATATAATTTGTATTTTAGTTTTTGTTTCGCCTGCGACGAAAGTCGGAGTATGCAATTGAGACGTAGGGATTACTAGGCGGCGGCGGGCGACAGCGTAAACTATTTGTATAAAGCTTAATATTCCAGAAGGAAGAAGACATAGATGCTTCATACCTTGTATGCAGATAACTTATGTTACGAAGTTTCGGTCTGTCATTTGTCCATTGTCTTTGACCTCATTTTCATGGTTCAGCGACTGCTTGAAAAATAAAATTCCTGTGAATTTCTCACTTATTATGAGTAATAGGATAACTATAATATTTGGTATTGTGTTCCTTGCAACGCCTACATGTCCGTCAGACAGGGTTAACCTGACCTCGCCCTCATTTCATGGATCAGTGATCAAGGTTAAAGATACGTGATTAGGTCCGTCTTTCAGATACTATAAGCATTAGGTCAACTTTATATATGGTGTATGGGGTACAATCTTACATGTCAATCTGGCAGGTTTCATCTGACCTTGACCTCATTTCTTTGTTTTGGTCTGTTTTTCAAATACTCATAGCAATATGTCAGCTATATTTTATGTATGGAATAATTATGTAAATGTCTGTCTGACAGTTATCATCTGACTGACTTTCTAATACTATAAGCAGTAGGCCAATTATATTTGATGTATGGAATGATTGCAAGAGGTACATGTCAGTCTGACAGGTGTCATCTGACATTGACCTCATTTTCATGGTTTTCTTGGTCAATGTTAAGTTTTTGTGTTTTGATCTGTTTTTTCAATTACAATAAGCAATTGGTCAACTATATTTGGTATATGGAATAATTGTAAGCTGTGCATGTCTGCCTGACCGGATTTATTGTCATGGATCTTTAAAACATTATGTGATTACTTGGCCGTTTTATAGTGATTATTTGATTATCAGACCAAATATTTCATGATTATCTGATTATTTGATAATCTACGACTGTATTTTGATTATCTTGTTTAAAATAATAATTAATGATTATGTGATTATATTGGCGAAAAATTTGTGATTATGTGATTACTTGGACACCCCCATGAGGGGCCTCATAATTGGAATGATTAAAAAAGATGAGTATGTCAATGAGAAAGCAACAACTAAAGGTCAACCTATTGTCTCTACAATAGACATTGTCAGAGGTTTTTTTATGTTCTCAAAATGAAATGTACAACGCAGATTTTCATTATATTTTCATAAGAACTTTAAATTTTATGTGGCCCATTCTACTGTTGAATAATATTTTCATTCCAATGTTTATATCTACTACAAGAGATATTTCAATTCCAATTATAATTTCCTACATGATATAATTCAACTATGCCACATGCGTACATATAACAAGTGACTTCCTCATTGGAAAATTTACTAATAATAACCCTCATCCTTCCACTTGGGATCGTTTTAATTGTTGTAATCCGGTTATAAGTTTGACAATACGCCATAGCTTAATCATACTAAGTTAGACTAGGGTATGTCCATTCATAGATGTTTAAGTTTATTGTACACTCAAACTTAGTCTTAAATGAAAGAAATAATCTAAAGAAGAGAGACTTCTAAGTGACAGTTCGGACATCTATATATGTGTCCATGAAGTACCGTTGAATTCACAAATCATGGATAATTCAACAATCGCTAACTATAATTTAACCAACAGAACATATCTCGACTTTAACAAAACTCTGCAGGATTACAATGATGAGGAGGCTTTACGACGACTGGCACCAATGATCTATCTTGCACTTCTTATGTTAATTGGAATACCAGGCAATGTTTTGGTTCTAATAGTTTATCCCATCAGATTTCAGAAGAGTACTCACCGTACATTTATCATTGGTCTGGCACTTTCAGATTTATTTGTCTGTGCTGTAACTCTTCCGTTTGAGATAACAGAGATGAGATTTCAATATACGTTTTACAACATGTGGGCATGTAAATTTTTTCGCGCCTGTAACAACCTTTTTGCACTGTCATCGATCTTCATTCTAATGGGACTCTCCGGCGATCGATATCGACGTGTATTTACTCCATTAAAACTTCAAATGACTTCTCATCATGCTACAATATTCATCTTTTTTAGTGTCTGTTTGGCACTCGTGTTCTCCTGGCCAAACTTCCTTATCAGTGGAATAAGACATGTAAAACTTGGAGAATTTAATATCACAGGATTTGATTGCTCACTTTCGGATCAATTTGCAAAAACAATATATCCAACTGTATATGGTGGGGTATTGTTTCTCATTTTCATTATCTGTATGGTATCTTTAATTGTTATATACTCGTTAATTGGACGTAAACTTTGCGCACACATCCATTTTAGGAGGAAATTCTCTAATGTGTCTTCGTCTAAGTCAACGTCTGATACAACACTTCCCAATGAGCAACATAATATAAATACTTCTCAGCAATACCAAAATGAGGTTTTCGAGGAAAAAAAGCAAAACAGTGAAAAGAAACTATTAAGCAAACAAAAGTCAACCAACAAAGATAGAAAAAAATCAAAAAAAGAAGACATGGCATCGAAGAAACTAACTAAAATCGCATTTGCCGTCAGTCTCGCCTTCATTTTGAGCTACCTGCCGCATTTGACAATATCTTTATTGACGGCATTGAAAGGTAAATTCCTGTTTCCGCCAGGTCCTATTGTGTCCGCTGTGTTGCCAATAGTAACCAGGTCATTCGCCATTAACAATGTCGTGAACCCTATTATATATGCATTTATTGACAGAAGATTTAGGGATGGTTATAGATTTATCTTTAAGAAAATGAATTGTTTTAAGTAGGACCAAGAGTAAAATATGTGACGAATTTTAAAGTGATGTTCTATATTATGCAATTATCCCTTTTTGTCATATTTCAAGTGTTTTCCGAGTGGCATACAACAACTTGTAGTCAAATTATATTCCACCTAAAGTGAATAACTTACTGTACAAGCCTTTCATCTAATTGTGTTTATGAAGAGTAATACTGATTCGAGTATTGTAAAATTCTGCATATATATATATCTCTCATATAAAGTATATCTAAAATGTAAAGACTGTTTGTATTTTATTTTATTTTTTTGCTTCAATTTCCGATATATGACTTCATAATATATTCATATTTCATTGTATACAATGGTCTACAACCATTTATTCGTGCTCCTTGCTGTCTATGCCCATTTGGCTAGTTCAAGCATATGTAGTCGTTTCAACTGGAGTTTAACTGAGACATCTCAGCTATATGATAAATGTCACCTGCAACACTATGCCTGCTGAACTTGGAAAAAAGGTATTGCGTGAAAATTCATACCTTTTAAGAACCAACTTCATTTCAAAATCAAATACACCGTTGTGTAAATTATCGAACTGTTTTTTTAGGCAACATATTTGTTGAATTTCGTTGAATTAATTTACCAAAAAAAAAGACAATCGGCATTCCAATGAGTACCAAGTGTGTTGCCTTGCTAGTCTTCATGTTTTTGCACATATACGAAGCAAAGATTACCAAACCTTTTCGAATAAAAGAAGAAAAGCAAAACCTTTTTTTTTCATCAGAAAGTACTTACATATAATATTATTTTATGATATTGAAATAAAAAATAAAACAGACCTTCATTTTGAGGTCTTTTTCTCGAAATTAAAGTTGTCAAGGACACCTTAAAACAGATTCAATGACAAACTCGACGATTCAAGTCATCCTATTGTCAACTTACTATTCTTGAGTAGAAACATTTAATCTGCCGAGGTATATTGCGCTTATAGTTTCCCAATTTGTGCGAAAAGACAAAATTCATATAGTTTCCGATATGACTTCATATATTATCTCAAATGTATTATTTTTCTATCATATACATCCGTGACATAATCATTCAACCACAGAATGAACATCATCATAGCAATTCAAGTGTTACTTAATTTTCCACGACAAGCTAAAAATGTAACCCAATTTCCTTTTTTAAAGATTCAAAGCTTAGATGACCTGTACGTTAACAGCATTTATAAAGATTCAAAGCTTAGATGACCTGTGCGTTAATTTTGCATTTATAAAGATTCAAAGTTTAGATGACCTGTACGTTAGCAGCATTTATAAAGATTCAAAGCTTAGATGACCTGTACGTTAACAGCATTTATATAGATTCAGAGTTTAGATGACCTGCACGATAACAGCATTTATAAAGATTCAAAGCTTAGATGACTTGTACGTTAACAGCAAGGCATATGCACATAGACGGAACAATTATGTTAAAATATGTTAATTTCAAGTGATAGATGATAAATCTTGCCTGGTAGTTCATACACAGGCCGCCAAGATAAGAAACAGAGCATTGTTCGTGGCCTGGCCAACAGATATCTCCCGACCATAATCAAACTCAAGCTCAAGAATTCCAAGAACTTCATGCCTCTTTTAAAATACCCAATTGACATACGCTACTAGAACCCTGCCAAAATCCTGAATTGTAAGTGCATCCTTTATTTATAAAATACACAATTGACCCTTTTCTTATCTGAATCTACCTAACTTGTCTTAACAAAGATTTATTTTATCATACCATAATGAGACAAAGTAAAAAATTCTCATAAAAAAAACCAGCTCGAGTATTCTGACCTTTTCTATTAGAATATACTATTTTTTTCCTCAATTGCAAAACATTTGCGTTTGTAGAGTTTCCGATTTACCAGTTATTATTTCATTGCATTTGGTCATTTTAGGATGTTCGCTTCTCTTGTTTTTGAATTTTTGCCAGATTTTCGGAATCCTCTGGTTTTATCCATGTTTTGCCATTAAAAAATTTTGTCCACTAACCCCTACTTTTTTTCATAATTTTATTACATATAGTTTTAAAAGCCATATTTGAAAATATTACAAAATCCTTGTTATTTTTTCATAGTTTTTAAAAGAGAAAAGCGGACAATGTTAAAAGTATAAAAAATCTAGAGAGAATCATTTCCCGCCAAATTTTCAGTGGCTTATATCTCGAAAACAAACACACGGACCCTTAATTTTTTTCTGCTTTTTCAGTTCATCTATTTATGTACTATCAATTTATTACAGTCTCTTAGAAAGCTTGTTATTTTGAAGTAGAGTAGCGAACATCCTTAATACCGTGTTTGGTTTTGCTTAATAGTAGAGGGTTTTACAATTTTTTCATATATTTTGTGGATGTTTCTAAATTCGTAATGTTTATCCTTTTAATTTTCGGCTACTAATTAACACTATAATTTATCAATTAACTATAGATAAATCCAGTGTATAAAAATAAGAAGTTGTGGTATGATTGCCAATGAGACAACTCTCCAAAACAGACCAAATGACACAGAGATTAACAATAATAAGTCACCGTACGGCCTTCAACGATGAGTGGAACCTATACCGCATAGTCAGCTATAAAAGGCCCCAAAATAACAAATGTAAAACAATTCAAACGAGAAAACTAATGGCCCGATTTATGTACATATTGAACGAAAAACAAATGTGTTATACAGCAGCAAACAACAACCACTGAATTACAGACTTCTAATGTAACCCATTATGCATAGATATGGTTACTTAACGAAACCACAAACCGATCCACCTACTTCCTCCCTGGAAAAGTTGTGTTTTGTTACATCCTATATTTTCATCCGGTGTAACTTTAACAACGTGAAACCTGAAACATTACACAATATGATATAATAATTTATGTCATAATATTAACATGAAAGTAGCAGTGAAATGATTTAAATAAGAATTTATGGCGAGTATGACTTCGGATCTAATTATATAAGATAGATAAATTATGTACATTGTACATAACGAAACCACATTATGTTCTAAATTCACTGTGTTCCAACGAACATAAAGTATTTATGTGCTAAATCTCTCTAGATTTTTGTATAGCATACATATCTGAGCACATTCAGATATGTACCTTTATACGATAAAGGCATAATAGAAAAGTAAATACATATTTAGGTACTGTTAGGCGCAATGACCATCTCGATTACTGTTAGGCGCAATGACCATCTCAATTTTAATAAGATCCAGAGATCACAATATTTTATCAAACATAAATAACAGTTCATGTTTTGAATACGGAAACCATGCACATCTACGCAAAAAAGTCCTTTATAAACATCACAAAATCTCAATTTGATCAACAATACCGGTAAAAGACAGCAATCAAACATCTACAAAATTTATACAAAACATATTAATTCTTTACGTACAACTTCAATACATTAAAAAACAGAATTCTTAATGAAAATTAGACTTCAATACAAAAGAAACGTACGACAATGGTCACTGCCCAAACCTCGATAATTAAATCTCGTGCAAACTGTCTTTATATACTGACCGCCAAAACCGGTTTACAACTATTGTGAAAACACAATAGAATAAATTACATACTTCAAAAATCATACGCGAACCGCACATAAATATACTTATGTTCTAAATTCACTGTGTTCAAACGAACATAAAGTATTTATGTGCTAAATCTCTCTAGATTTTTGTATAGCATACATATCTGAGCACATTCAGATATGTACCTTTATACGATAAAGGCATAATAGAAAAGTAAATACATATTTAGGTACTGTTAGGCGCAATGACCATCTCGACGCACAAAGAAAGCAAACTTGACGTTAAGTACATATCATATATATACCAAGATTTTGAGATACTGACAAACGCTTCTGTAAACTTTCTAATACATAGCCGTCTTTAGCTTGATCGGATTTCCACCGACCGTGTATTTTAAATAACCTATCTGAAATATTGTTTTGAGCGGCAGCTGTGGCACCACCCGATCTAAAACTATGCAGACCAAAATCTTTAGAGTTACAACCAATCTCTGATCATGCACATTTAACCAATTCTCTCGCTCTGGTATACGACAAACTATAGTTTTTCTTCCTAAGAACAAAATTCTGTGTTTTCTTCAAAAATGACAAAGGTCTAAATATATACATATCTGAAGACAAATCAATATTTGCTGCTCTTAAATAGCAGTCTAATATTGTACATGGACATTGTGGAGTGTCAAGCTTTGATATCAATACATGTCTGCCTTTCCTGAAACAGTCTGTTTTACTCTTCTCAATAAAAATGTCTATATATTGATTACAAAATGAAATGTGCTTTGCTTTTATACTACAAAGTTCTTGATACCTTAAAAATTCGGTATAAGATAGTGCACACATTGTTAATAACCGTAAATCTTTAAGAGAACGACCAACTGAATTGTACTTTGAAAATAATTTAATCATAATATCAGAAGTAACTGGACTCTTTTTCTCTATAGGTCTGTTCAATTTTCTTCTTGATGCTTCTACGATCAATCTAACCATTTCAGAATCACATGGATTAGCTACCCCAGCAAGATTATGTGCCCATTTAATTCCATAAAAAGCGGATTCTATAACGCTATAATGATTAGCTGATTGCATTAAATTTTGTAAATATAGACCTACATATAATTCTTGACAGGGTAAAACACATTTAATTTCAGAGTATTTTTCAGCCCATTTAACGAATCTTTTAAAATATCCAGCATATTTTTCTACTGTAGATTTTGCACGAGCATCAAGAATGGTTGAGGATAAACTATTAAACAATGATCTAAGTTCAGGATGTTTAATCTGTTCGTTCTGTGACCAAAATCCAACAGAAAATATTGTCTGCAAAATATATATACAATCGGTAGAATAAAGTTATAAATATAAAATACAGTACCTTGAAACTATATCCATACTAGTCCAGTGACTTGGTCAAACAATAATACAATCTATAACAATAGTCCAGTGACCAATAAGATGAGGGTCCAGTGACCAAAAAAGGCAGTCCAATGTGTGTACACAGTAACACCGTAGCAAAACGCAATACCCAGTGGTAATATAAATCTGTAAAATAAATATACATATTACACAACCGAAGCATTTAAATGTACAGCTAATATTTTCCCGTGAAATTTACCATTAGCAAACAAAGAGTTTAAATTGTTACCAGCAACAAAAATTATTTCTACTTCATGAAATTCTAAAACATCAACAACAGAACAAGCGTATTCCAAGTT